GAAAATCAAGGTTGATTCAATTAAGCCGGCAGTTTTGAGATCGCAAAAGACACTGTGAAAAGTTGCCCCGTTGCTTTTGCTCTAACGATTAGAACTTCAAAATACTTGGGTTGCTGAACAACGCGAACCCGTAGGCAGACACACCGGCTGCACACCTACGTGTTTCTAAATAAGTCTTATTCGTAGGTTGGCTGCACGACGGAAGCGAAACTTATATCTTTCTCCGTCTATTCTCGCTCGTATAATTATCTAAACGTGAATCTCTTGTCACTAGAAAAAAGAAAAAAAATGTAAACCATGTGTAATTAACACTTTTCAAAAAAAACCTTCCTTTTACCTACGAGCGAAAAGTATGTTAATCGATGACGATAGCCTGATCGTTATACTCACTGATTGTGAGAGGACGAGCGATATCCCGCAGAATATTGCCTCTGAAAATCTCAAACACTGCGATCCGCCGGCAGAAGTTCCTCCTCCCCCGAGTACGTAACCGGTCCCAAACATATTTACCTGCTTTGGTCTTACGCCACAAGCTCTATGCAGTACATAAATCCCGCATGAAACCCGGGCTTACTATGGCTACGACCCTACTGTCGAGGAGTATTACGTACGATTCACTACACCGTACTAGTAGACCATGTCTATCATGATGCGTATGAGAGCTTTGAATTAGTAAAAACCATTAGTTTGTTTTCAAGACGAATGGAAAGTTAATTCCTGAATGAACATCGACGACCAGCCGTCGTAAATGTGCTACATGCATTTCGACTTTTTTGTTGTTACTTCAACGAAAGTTACTCTTCCGTGAAACATGTGGTATATCGCGTGTGCCGATACGTAAACGCACGTCTACACACGATACTCGGGCGGAAAACACGTGCATATAGGTTATGTACGTGGTGCGGCGAGAAAGAGACGATGAGAGAAACCAAGCGTGGAAGTAAAGAGATAGGAACGAGTGTAAAGAGAGAGAGAGAGAGAGGAGGAGGAGGAGAGAAGCAGAGAAGACAGTGAGCTAGTGAATGAGCAACAGAGAAGGAGAGACTATAAGGACTACTGCCGTTTTATTGGCAGAGGTGAACGACACTGCCTACTGCAAGGTGGATGCCTGTATTTTCGCATAACCGCTCGTCGTTGGAACGTGCCACGAGTTTATGGGTCACTCTACGTACTGTTTTCAACTTTTTATAGTAGTTTATAAATTGGTTAATACGGATCGAAATTACGCCGACACCGGAAGAAAGCCATCGATGTTTGTCTCTGCCTCTTAGTGCTTCGGTGATCTGTGTGCCTTGTGCTTTTAGATGAAATAATTATTTCGAAATATAATGTAACAAATCCCATTGTTTCATCATTCGATGCAGATGATTTTTATTGCAACGGTCGATGAAGTCGATAATTCGAAAGTAATTATTTTTGCATTCGAATAAATTTCTTAATGGCTGACTTGCATCGAAATATGCACGTGTTTTGTATACCTTAATTAATATTCAATGCATGCACGTGCCTTTATGAAATTAACGTGTAAAATTATGACGATCTTCTGCGAAAAAAATTAAGAATTTATCTCATGTACAGTTTCCAATCGCAAAAAATAATAAGCGTGTACAGGTTATGTAAGAGCGAGGACCAATGAAAGGACGGCCTAATCAACATGAGTGGATTCAGAATTTACGGATGGTTTGATATTTTGTAATTAATATCGTATTTTTGTTTAACAAATTCACTATTTGACAAGGTAAAGCCTCAAATCTGGCAATAAAAATATGTACGTACATGATGTAAAGCAATACGCATATGGCGCGACAGATTTGTAAGAACCAATATATATCTTGAGTTTAGTTCAGTTTTTCAATTCATACAGAGTTATGTGACTGTCTTCTACGTACAATAAGAAGCAATATCTCCAAGAAAATGTTTCAAGAAAAGATCATGATTGTAAAATAAAAAATTTGTCTATCTTTTTGCGTTACGATCATTCGCAATTATGAAATTTATATTGCAAGAAAAATCGGTCGAGTAACCTGAACTGACCTCTACTTCGCCGTTCCTCATCGATTTTCTAAACATACGTCAATACGAAGTACACGAGACACGTATTCACGGAAATTAAATGCTTTTTTTTTTATATGGCAAATAAATTCTATCATAGTAGTTGTATAGTACTTGTATAGTAGTTGTGTTAAATATTTGAGAAATGAGAAACCGAGACATTTTCGTGCTTATCGCTAAATATTTTGAGGTTAGCTTCGGCAATTTCAGGTTATCTTTATATAGAGCAATCTAACGTATAATTTGCACAATGTCAAGTGCGCATTACTTAATGTTTTATACATACATGATACTCAACAATAAATATTAATATTGTAGTGTCATGTGTTTGATGTATTTATAAAAAACTAATTTGATATACTCATTTAATCATTTGATCACTCAATTAGTAGAGGACATGAGAATTATATAAAAAAAGATTGAAATGAAGCGTATATATCTGAGGAATGTGTATGTTGAAATCATTAATACATCACCTGGTAACTTTGTTTATCACATCATGATATAATTCCATTTCATCCATATACTGTGATTGCTCAATAAGATGACAAATGTATTGCCAATTGCGTGATTTCAAAATGATGTATGATGTATCAATAATCATACCTTGAATGCAATTATATTGAATATATAATGCATAATACATATCACTTGTAAAAGACATAAAATAACGTGATTAACGAGACAGCATATATAGTTTATGCTGTCTCGTTTCAATGCCATTGAAGATAGATTCATTTGATTGCAGCATAAAAAGTCAATTTATATTAGGTCAACTATAACACATTCATATTATTATGTAATGTCATCTTTGTATAATTGTTATAATCAGAATGTAAAAGATGCTCAAATGAAAAAATGAAAGTAACTCTATGAGATTCAAAGATATGGTAACTTCTTGCTTCGCTTTTAGATTCAGATCAGTATCCAGAAAACTTTGAATGCCAGTTCATGAAACATTTTACATTAACCATACATAAAAAATTGTGTATTTTCAACAGTTCTTACATTCAAATCTTTTACAAACATTTTTGTAACACTGTGACAAGAATGTGAATGCAAGGAGCAAGCAGAAAGGGAATAAATAAAATATGAAAGACTTGAACTAACCTTTGAGCTGCGGTAACTGTTGGAGTTCAACATCTTGCGAGTTACGATAACGAGATGAACCCTGTGATTTCTTGGATTTCTTCTTAAGGGATCTCTTGGCAAAGGGATCTATTCGGTCCACAAAAGTCGCTGACGACATGTTGAGATTAGCAGAGGCACTACGAGAGCTGGAGGGAAGTGGAACGCTGGAGGCACTTTCGTGCCTCGGCTGCACTTTTTCGGCGTTGGACGCGACTAAAGAAGATTGCAACCACCCCGAGGAGGTCGCATTCCGCGTCGAGGAAGATGAACTCACTACACACACAAGGAGAAAGCAACACTACACGATTACGAAGCGCACGTGGTGTACCTAAACACGGTAACCTACTGGTTCAGAGGTTCCTGAAGCAGAGAGGGGTGAAAACTGATAGTAGTGCGTACATAGCACGAGGAGATTTTTCCGCGTAACAGAGCCGAACGTGTTCAATCGGGGGATGTCCGTCAAACGACGAGATCCATCAAGTTCACAGTCCGATAAAAATTCGTTGAATAACTCGCCGAAGATGGTTTTTTCGTACCGGTCGAGAAAAGGGGCGCGATCGTTTGTTAGGCGTTGTCACACGCGAACGCACGCCCCGTCGTACGTCGAATCTCCCACCTACACCGTGCAACACACAAGCGGCACCGTGTCTTTCCTCTGATCGTACGTGGATTGCGCGTTACTTGATACCACGGCTGATCGTTTGGTCTGTGACTCGGTTGTTCACTTCTCCCCGTTCGTGCAAATATTTGATTCACGCCACCGAGAGCCCGTGGAACGGCTGGCAGGCTTGCCGTGCCGTGCCTGCGTGTCGGGTACCAAGTCGCGAAAGAAGCACCGTTACGAAATCGCTCGTATCTCCTCTCCGGCGGTGTTTCACCGCGCGAAATCTATCTTCCACAGGATTATCTTCCTTCTGCACGCGGTGGCCGCACTCCGTTCGCGCAGTTAAACGCACACACTCACTTAAACGCTTCGATGGGGGACACTGAGGCTCGAACAGCACTCGGCCGCCATCAGCTGCTCGGACCGACGAGCTTCTTTCATTTTTGCCGGAACGACCGACAGACCGTCAAGCGCTAAGTCCCGCCGAGACCTCTTCCAACATTGTACCTTTTATTACACACGTACAAGATACTACAATTTCGGCATCTACCGCACGTAAAATTTAAATTAAAAAGAAAAAACGATCCTTCCACCGTCGCCCTCTTCACTTATTGAAAACCCGTCAAGAGGTGCCTTGTGTGCCTGAAAATAGTAATATGCACTCGACAATCATCGGCCGAAGATTCCCGATCAAACACGAACGTCAGCGAATGCCCTAGATCGCGCCACTTTACGTTTTCCCATTGCACCATTGCAATTTTTCGCTAGGAACATTTTAATTTGCGTTGCAACAATCCGTATATATTTAACGTCGTCTCAAACTGCCCGTTCGACTTTATACACGTATATTTCTATTTAACGTTTTCTTATTACTATTTATCGTTAATGCAGTGTAGCTCGTGATCAGGTGGTTTCGTTCTTATGAACGTGCCTTAATATAACTATACATGCACATATATTACGTAGTTGGTACTTTTATATAGGAAAAAATAATCCAGGAGATAAAACCTTGTAAATTTGTTCTTAAAATCCTTTAATATGTCGCATCATATATATATATGATATATAGATATATATAGATATATATATATATGTTGTACATATGATGTTGAATGACGTTGATATGTATACATATAAAATTTTTATATCTTTTACAATGTATATTTTCATTCGCTTTACAATTTCATCATTTTTTCTGAAATAATTTTTTTTACGTTCACATAGAATCGTTTCTACACTTTTTGAAACATATTCCTAGGTATATTTTGTATTAGGTATATGCGATATTACCGATCCATTTGTCGTAGGATGTTGTGTCATATACTCGATCATAGTTTACAAACTTAGTTACTCGTGAATCGCAAAAACAGTGTTTTCATGAACAATGTATTTGTCATTCAAAATAAAATATTTTGAAATTGATAACATAAATAATTAGAGAATTATGTCGTATCGTATGGAATGTAGTTCGCTGTCTTCTACATCTAACCTTAAAATGTTCATTCTATGTTGTTTAAGATAAGTGGGTTTGCGATGTACATTTTGAAATTTTAAAAGTGATAAATATTCATATTATCTTAGTATCATTCCTTCATGTGTTCGATACCAAAGGCAAGTGCTTTAAATCTTTTCACTCGATGTCCTGGATTATACTGTGGGAGAGAATTGCTGTCTGATGGCAATTGGAGTGATTGCGGTGCTTGTCCTCGTGGGTTCAGGGCAAATGCCTCTTCGATATGTATACCTTGCGATGACGAACCAATGCTTTATGATTGGCTCTATCTAGGATTCATGGCATTGTTAGCCTTAGTATTACATTGGTTTTGTATTGATATGGTATCTATGAGGCGCAACATACCTAAGAAAGTGATTGCACTACACTTGTCTGCTCTGTTGGAAGTTGTTTCTGCATCTCTGATTACTTTGCAACTGACTGATCCTATAGGCAGTTTTTCAGTTAGGTCCTGTAGAGTTATGAAACTCTCAGATTGGTACACATTGTTGCACAATCCTAGCCCAAATTATGAAGAAACCTTGCATTGTACACAGGAAGCTGTTTATCCTTTGTTAGTAACTGAGTAATTATTAGCTTATTTCCTTTCTATTTGAGAAATTAATTAATCATTTAATTCTTAGGTACACGATGGTGTTCATTTTTTATGCTTTAGGAACAGCTATAATGTTAATGATAAGACCAATCATAGCCAAGAAATTTTTGCCAAAAAAAGGAAAATTTTCAATTTATGCTGCTCTTTATTTTTATCCCATTTTAGCTTTATTACATGCAGTTGGTGGTGGTCTAATATGTAAGTGAGGCAATTTATATTTTAAGAATATGTCTCTATATTTCAATAATTCTTGTTTTTAGATTATTCATTCCCATACATAACTATAACATTGTCTGTACTATCCAATGCAGCACACTTTTCATTTAAATTAAATCAGGTAATGTTCTTTGTTCGCTGTTTATATTTGAATATATTGTTTCTAAATGTTTCATGAAATTTTTTTCAGTCAATGAAAGCATTGTTGTTGAGCTGTGTATCAGATATGAAGAATGCAATAGTTATTTTAGGTCATTGGCTGTTGTATGGATATGGTTTAATGGCTGCAGCAACTTTCCAAGGTCTCGGCATTCATCCAGCAATGCTTGCTTTAGTTCCTTTACCTGCATTGTTTTACATTCTTACTGCAAGGTTCACAGATCCACATAAGCTTCATATAGAATAATAAAATTTATTATATTATAACAAAAAATCTTTTCTCTAAAAACGATAATGGGTTAATTATAAAATATATTTTTACTGCATCATATTTAATTATATCTTTCACAAAAGCAATACATGATTGTAATAAATACTATTACATAAAGATAATAAGCAAAAGATTATTGATTGATTAGAGTTTTTTCATATATTTAACTCTTTGGAACAAATGTTAAAATAATTGTACTCTTGCCAGATATAGGAACCTTGTTCGAAGATAACTTTGTTCTGAAAAAGAGATTTCATTAAAATAATTATTAATATTTCATAAAAAAAAATATTGAACAAATGATAATAAAATAATGTTACTTTATTGTATCACCGTCTTGTGCGTAATTCGGACTATATGCAACTACATTAACTTCTTCAGAAATCTGTGGTATTGTAGAGAAATCCACCACTATAGGTTCTTCTGCTGACTGATATGCTACTAAGTATCCAGGATTACCACTCTTTAACCTAAAGATTTATTTAATTTTATGGTTTGTAATTATAATTTTTTATAAAGGAAAAAGAAAAATTGATTAATTTTTAATAACAATAATTAAATTAATATTTCATATTCTCGTTAATAAACCAGTGGTTAGTCAAAATCGTTATTTAAAATTAGTTTTATAAAGACAGGCTTCATGCATTATGTTAGTAAGAAAACTCACCAGTTCCTGCGTTGCATAGAAGGAAGCGTGGAACAGGGCAAATTAATCCTTGGTTAGTAAATTACACAGTACAATTTGTGTCAATAGTGTGAGGTGTATGAGTTATTTAGGGTTTAAGTGTAACATCAAAGGATAATTGAGATGATTTATAGCAATTGTGAATTAAATTGATTGAACTTTCTTTGACATAGATCAATACTATAATTACTTTTTTATTTTTTAAAATTTTTTTTGTTCATTATGAATATTTAATGTGTAAACGGAAAAATAAACAATGTTAATAGTAAAATATATAAAAATGATGTTATATTACCTTGTGTAAACAAATACACTTCCATTAATAGTTCTAAGCATTGTTTCTCCATGGAGGAATGTTAAACTTTGTCGTGCTTTAGATAAAGTTGCAAAGGCATCTTTTGCAGATAAAGTATCATTTAATTTCAGCACGGGTGTGCCAGGTAAAAGTAAGGTCATGAGTGTTAAACTGTCTGCTATATCTGCAGGCATTCTCTCTCTTAAACTAAGCTTTCTGCCATTAATCTAAAATAATACAATATAATATAATATATACTCCAATACTACAAAATTTGTAGACACTTGTAGACACTTACATCCCAGGCAGGCCAAGAAGTAAAATTAAGCCAATGCAAAAAACCACGCTGCAAAGTAGTAGCATTTATGCTGCTATCTGCAGTTGTAAGAAACTGCGAATTTTGTGGGAGGTCAATCAGTCTTTTTTTTTCATTATAAACTTGTAGGATATCAGTTCCAATATCATCTTGGAGGGCAAAGAACCTGGACATATATTTTGCTATAGAATTTTGTTTTAAAAAAGGATTATGTATATTATTATTATTAAAATTATTAAAGATGACTAACCCTTTATTGTCCGTTTCATTACGAACTCTTTCTTGCCATTTTGTCAAGGCAGCAGCATTTTCTGGGCGATCTCTCGTATAAGCATGTATTAATGAATCATAGTTATCTGCTTCAATAGGTATAGTACTTCTAAATTCATCGTGAAGATTTGGATCTTCAGTTAAGTATTGAGTATTAGCTAAACGGAATCCACTGATTCCTAATTTTAACCAATGACTCAAAATATCCTAAGTATTGAAAATTAAGTATTATTAATCTACATATGAGAAAAATGATGGCAGAATAACTTACAGAAAATTCTGTAATCACTGTTGGATTGTTATAATTCAATTCAGGTTGTGTTATATTGAATTGGTGAAGGTAATATTGTCCCCTTTGTTCATTCCACTCCCATGCTGACCCTCCATAGACACTCAGCTGAAAGAGATTTGTATTATAAAATTATTATAAAGATACAAACTAATTTGAATTTGAAAAAAAAGAGATACGACTAACCCAATTATTAGGTGGATTACGTCTACCATCAGAAGTCACTTTTGGATCTGCCCAAACATAGTAAGATGAAAATGGTTCTTCTCTCTCTATAGAACGTTTGAACCATGGATGCTCAGTTGATGTATGACTTGGATCTAATTCTAAAATAATGTATTGTTCTTTGTCTTTTGCAGTTTTTATAAGAGCTTCTAGATCACTTGTGGTTCCTAATTCTGGTTTAATATTTTTGAAATCTTCTGTTCCTCCTATGATTTAAGATGTAATATTAATATTTATCACTATTACAGTAGAAAATAGCCTCATGGAAAATAATTTTGTAGTACCTGTTGAACTTTCTTTAATCATAGAAACAAGAGATATTGCATCTATATTTTGTTTTTTCAAAGTATCTAATAAAGCTTCTACACCTTTCAAATCATGAGTGTTTGTTTCAACAGGATCTAATTGTACGATAGCACTCTTTTCCCACCATTCTTTAGGTTTTGGTGCTACACATTTCGGTGCCGTTGCTACAATAGCTATAGCACCAGCCAACGTGACAACCCAAAGTAACCAGAAAGCAACGAATAAAAACCATCTTAATTGAATCCAGAATGGATCATTAGCAAACTTCATGAGCTCTTCTTTTCCCATTCCTGAAAGGGCTTGCTTCACTGTTTCAATATCGATTTTGGTATCTCCATTTTCAGAAATAAATTTCACCTATTTGAGATAACTATATGTTACATGTTACAACAAATATTTAATGTTTATATTTCATTTGAACATTTAATGAATCATTGTTATTTCCTCAATGGTAACTCCATGATTGTTCTTCTTTCTCATTCAAGATGATGCAATAGGAAAAAGTTCTTACTTTTGAATAATAAGAAACAAATGCAGTACGATGTGAAAGAAATATAGGACAATAAGTAAAAACATGTGACAAAAAATTAGAAAGTTGTCTAGAAGCAGATCAATTGTCTCTTTTTACCGAACAAAAGAAATTTCCAATTAAGATAAAAATAGGTAAACGTTAGGTAAAGGGAAAAAGAAGTAATAACTTTAGATGAAACAATTATTATAATAGCAACAAGACTGACAAAAAAAGATGTCTTCAACTACATACACACATAAGTATCTTTCATAGATCGCACGAAGATCAGGTATGCTTTTTATTGATTATTAACATACCTCGGTCGTATCTTTCGTGGGAGAGACTTTACTTTCCTCCTTAAGCATTTTTTCGCGCACTCCATCATCAATGTCGGTCTCATTTTCCGGCTTTCCCATTGCAATATTTTCGACTTTACTTTGTACAGCACCGTCGTCCTCCGGCAACGCCTTGTACGTGGCGACAACTACCGTTTCTTTCGTATTCCCATTCGCTTCGACACTATCTAAATTCAACCTCCCACTCTCCATTATTATTATCAAGCAAAATCAAGGACGTTAAACGATCTTACGCGACGGGAATCAGCGAATATTCTTTTCTGTTCTTCTGACGTGTGTTCGATCGATCCCAGACAACGAGAGCTTCGAGAATGACTGGACAAATGCCGTTTTACCCCATAGAGGCATCTGGTTGGTTCTTGCTCCCCTATTGTTCTCTGGACCTATTTACTTTTACTATACAAGCATAAGATATAAAGAAAATAGGGACGACTTTTATCTCTCGAAAATAGGGCTTTACCAAATACTTTAGATAGGTAATGTCAAGATTTATAACATGCCATAAAAGTTAAAGAATACCTGTAAAATTGCCTAATTTACTACTTTTATTTAGATTATAATATTTTAGTGAAGATTTATGTTTATAAATTGTATTAAAAAAACGTTATAATAAATTATGAAATATGAATGAAAGATTCGATTAAGAATCAAGAGATTCTTTTGATCTAAATGATTCAAGATTCAAGATTGTTTTCGATGGTTTTGAAAAGTTACTAAAGAATTTTTATTCAGGATCAATTTGCACGGGGTGCCGCGTTATCGTAGTCCAGAACTGAGATAATTCTCCCCTTGGAATCAGCCGTTTACAACGACGAATAGAATACTTGGACAGAAAAGAAGCGCGAAAAATATTTCGCTTTGCATATAAAAGTTAAATTTATTGCATTATTTTAAATATTACAATTACAAAATATTTAAACAATATTTCCATGTAAATAATATACAAAATTTTCTTTACGTTTTCATACGTAACAATGATAAATAATGCATGCAAATAATTTTGCATATGTTTTGTTTTACATTTAAAAATTTCATAGATATTTTAATCTGCTCAACGTAAGCAAGCAATTATGCTGTTATCTTGCATCTTGCTGATAGCACGAAAAAAAAAAATATACTATCTTCGTGAACACACATCGACTTTTGTTTCATTGACTTATTTAGCACATCTGACTAAAAAGCTTGTGAATATTCCGGGAAGTTTACTGAAATAACGTGGAATTAAGATGATTGCATAATTTGAGATATCGATTCAAAGATAAACAAAATTTACAACATTATCCAGTTGTTGAATACTCACTGTATTCGTTGTATTTACAGTAGAATTGCAGCACGTTTTCGATGGTAAGCAGCAGTAAGATAAAATGGATATAATGATCACTACTATTAACATTACCCATAAAAACCAAAATATGCACACACGAATGTTCATACACACCGGATCGATCGAGTAGTGTCTGAAATTATCGCTCGCCGATTCTGAAAACAGGGAACTCTTTTTCAGAACGTCTTTTAGCAATATTTAACGATATTTCACATCCTTTCGTTATTTTATAAATTCTAGTTGCAATTTAGCACCGACATTTAGTATCTTGTATACGTACACGTTTCGTAACCTTTCAAATTGTTCGCGCGCGAATCTATCTATGTGTCGAAATTCGATATCGCAATTTACGAACTTCCGTTCTCAAAATGCACACGGCGGTGGATGCGCGAGCATACGCGTCGCGATTGGTCGAATTTGAATTTCAGTTTTCGTACGGAACGGCGTTCGAAGTGTACGTGTCCGCGTTCGCGACGTGAAAAAAAATCTCTTTCCCGTTTCGCAAATAGTGATGTCAAACCTGTGTCTTGTGAATTTCCTTCGGATCCATCGGATTGTACAGCCTGGTAGATCGATGCACCGCAAAATAGGTGAGTCATCTCTGTGGACTCTATTGTTTTGCATTCCTTTCGTCCCGCTTGACACTCACCGCCGTTGAAATAACTGACCAACGGATTTTTCGAATCGTCGTTGCACATTCGTTTGTTCCCGGCAACACCGTTGATTTTATTCGCGCGAATGGAACGATCCAACGATTTCGGCTGGCCGTTAACGACCGGTGTGACAAAACTGGGCAATGAAACCGTATACGACATTTCCGTTCGCTATAGATACAGACACGAATAAGATAACAATTGAACAGCGAAATTTCTTTTGCCTCCCCTATTCTTGTTTGCCTTTCGCTCTTATCTTACGGTCGATACGTTAGAGTTGATCGAACGTATTTGCGTTCAAAGCTTAACGTTGTCCCGATTAACAACAATCGGCATACATTGATAACTCGAATCACAGAAATACAATTTATTCAACTAATTATAACGCATTATCTGTGACTGTGAATTTAACGCGAATTGTTATATATACATACGTGTGTGTATCATTTTCATTTGTATGTATTTCTTATTTTTTTTTTTTTTTTTTTTTTTTTTATAGTTTACACTTGGCTTACTAACGATAATAGATAACGGTAAAAATATTAAATTTGTATTTGTACTATGTACTGTATGAATGCCATCAAAAGTACGAGTTTCTACTCGTGATTTTAGTAGAGATGCAACTGGCTCCTAAAGGAGTTATTCACGCATCTGGAATTAGATTGCTCAGCTTGTTATGAGTCACTCAACACTGTCGCCGCTTTGTAAACGTATTTACGAATAACAGTAGTATTTGTGTTGTCATTAATATAAATTATAGCAGCACCTTAGAATCCGAATGTTAACACCTGAGGCCAATATCTTTCTATAAATAAACTTCCTATTTATAGAATATGTTATGAACGCGCTAGAGTGTAAAGTGAATTCAATGTACATTTGCCGTTTTTTCTGTAGTCAAAATCTCTTATTAAACAACCAAAATAACAATCAAATCTTCGTAGCAATTGAAAATTGTATTTTAGTTCAATAACGCCTTAAAAGATTGAACACTAATGTTACTACGACGCTTGTACTTGTTATCAACTGTGTTATTGAGAAGGAAATAGCGGCAGAATTTTTCTCGGTTGTGACGGGAACCGTGACGGGAACAGTTGTTGTTTCGCAGATGTTTTCTTCAAATTTTAATACCAACGCTGCATTCGCCGAGAGGATAATATTTACCACAGAAATATTCGACCTGGTCAATATGTTCCAAGTTATCTTCATGAATTCAAAAATAAATCTCCATTTAAATAAGATAAACACTTACGCAATGTGAGCTGCATTACTGGAAACGATAACAACTTCTGCTGGATCCTCCAATTCTAGAAACACTGATTTTAAATTAATCGTTTCTTGTCGTAGACCCAAGTTGATGACAACGACATACGTAATAGGATTGTTTGCTAAATACCTGATAAGAAGTAAAATTAAGTATTCATTATGTACCTGTATTATGTATCATACGTCATTGCACACAAACCTTTTAAAAGCAAACACATGGTCATTGTTCAATGTTGCAAACCTATAATCCCCATGAGTGAATACTCTATTTTTTCTAAGAGCAGCAAGCAATTTATATGTCTTCCAATTGCTTCGTGCATTATTTTGCTGAGATTGAACGTTTCTCTCTGTGTAATCTGGATGAACAGGAAGATACGTGACTTTATTAGATGAAAATCCTGCTGAGATGTTAGCGTTCCATTGCATTGGTGTTCTTGCAGGGTCTCTGGAATAGCTTCCATATGTTTCTTTTGACTTTGAACAACCCATAGGATCAATTGTTTCATTCCACAACATTCTCCTGTCTAACATGGCAATTTCTTCCCCATAATAAGTGTATGCTTGGCCGGGTAACAATAAACTAATCATGTGAAGTCCATCCACACGATTCAATCCAATTCTTGTAGCTGCTCTCGAATTGTCATGATTGGAAAGCTAGAATCAAAGGAACACACACATTTGTTTGGATTACAAGCAAACAGTAGGAAATAATGATAGTATGATATATAATCTTACCACCCAATTTGTGCCTGTATTATTTGGAAGTTTCTTGAGCCAATCTTCCAAGACCTTCTTAATATCTGCAGCAGTGCTTGTATTCTGTATAGACTTGATAAACTGAAAATTGAAAGGTGGAATTCCATTGTGTGTAGCGTTACCATAAAGTGACATTAATACATCAGGAGAATCATAAGATTCTACAATTAATAACCTGTGAATCAGAGGTTACAATATTTTAGTATGAACACTATAGTTGAAGTAAAACTTGTAATATCTCTATACATACTTTGAAGAATTATACTTTCCCACGCTATTCTCTTTTACCCAATTATCAATGTATGAACGAAACTTGTACACAAGAGCTGTGCTTTCTGGTAGTCCGGATGTATAGTTTCCACTTCCTACAACAAGCTCATTCCTTAAATCTTTATCTTCATAAAGGTATGACACTGCACTGATTCGAAAGCCATCGACATTTCTTCTCAGCCAAAAGTCAAACACATGCTATGACGCAAAAGATAAGTTTTAAATGTACTTTTTATCCCGTCATTAGAATCACACAATGCAGATACTTTACCAGTAATTCTTGTAACACATTTTCATTTCTCAAATTGAGATCAGGTTGGGATTTGTGAAACTTGTGGTAATACCATTGTTGCCTTGTGCTGTGCCATGTCCATGCAGATCCTGCTTCATTGCTGTAGGTGCTCACCTAAAAATCAAATACAGAGAATTAACATTTTTAAAAATTGGCTTAACAATTAGAACTTACCCAGTTATTAGGAGGCATCCTGTTGCCCTTTTTATCTTTAGATCCATTTGCCCAAATGTAGTAGTCACTGTAATGCTTATTCTTTTGACTTGACTGTACAAACCATTCATGTTTGTCGCTTGAATGATTTGGCACTATGTCCAAAATGACCTTCAAGCCTGTAACATTTTGTCATTCAAAAGGCTGATACACATTTACACTGAGCATACAAATTTCATTAATTGGTATCAAACGTACTACGATTATGTGCTTGTTGTACGAATTCATCAAAAAGCTGGAGAGTACCAAACACTGGATCTATGTCAGTATAATTAGAAATGTCATATCCAGAATCGATGAGTGGCGACGGGTAAATAGGATTTAGCCAAATTGCGTCGACTCC